ACACACACACACACACACACACACACACACACACACACACACACACAAATACACACACACACACACGTATATTATATTGGAGATAAATTATTTATTACAATGATTTATGTCATTAAAAAAAAATAGAAACTAATTATACATAGAACTACAATTGTCAACATGATACTTATCCTTTCTTATCGTTAATTATCATTACAGAATCAGACCAGAAAGATTTTTGAAGTTAGCTGCAGAAATTAGTGAGGTTTTTCCTGGCGAGGACGAGGTATGCACGATTAGTTATAACGTAATCACGGGATATGCAAATATATACTATTTATTATTTTTCTGTTTTTTTTTTAGCGTTTGTATTACATTCCACGATGTGTGTATAATGGTAAAGAAGTTGCGCCAAAAGGGAAATTATATAACCAATATACAAATTTAGTAAAAAAATTTCGGCTGAACGATCTTCGAGGTAAATCTGCACATAATGTAGAAGAAAAAGGTTAGTAATTTATATAATATTTAAGAAATAAATCTTGAGATTATAGTTTAACGCCACATAGTCCTTACATTTTTGTTGCAAGTAAAGTTTATTTTTTAATCAAAATTGTTTTTCAAATAGAAAATAACGATTGTAACGACGATGACACAAGTGTCGCAAATGATTTGGCATGGTTGTCAATAAGACTGGAACCATGGACTACCGTACAGGAAAAATGGCAGGCTACCAGTAAATATCGGCTTGCTATTTTACAAAAACAAGAAACCAATAATTCTCGCAAGCGCAAGAACAGTGATCAGCCACCACCAGATAAAGTATCAGATTATATTAAAAAGTACAGGGCGCTACGATCCCCTGATGGATACACATTGGTAAGAATAATAACTTCTATCTGTAATTGGAAACATTTGCATAACAAAGAAACGATAGAAAAAAAGACGTTTTGCATTGCCTCTTCAATAGTATTTTTACTAAAAACAAAATTCATTAATGTTAGCATGTTTTACAAATCAATATTTTGTTTTTAATTTTGACAGCTCGAATTGGATTTTTTACAATTGTATCCGCAGTCCGATATAAATCTGACGAGTAAGTGGACAAAGTTTGTCCAGAAAGTGCTGGAGTTTAGTCCATCCGAGATCGATGGTTTAGCAGGCATGTACATTTATGCAAGATATTTACATCATTCTATTATTTCAAACCTATGTATTTTTACATAATTGTAGATTGTGTCTATTTAGATGTAGAACTTTAATGTATTAAACAAAAGTGTTATATTCTTCTTCTGTAAGTTAAAATTCTAAAGATTTTCAACTGCTGTTAGAAAAATTAATAAAAGTATTCGTCCACTGCAGTTTTCTTAACATTAAAATTTGAAAAAAATATTGTTGCGTTAGTAATTAACTTGTCTGAAATTATTTTTATTTTGATAGATGAGTCACCAGTCACAATTTTGCATAAGTTTGCTAAACTTTTTGAGCCAGTAATACTGAATGCACGAATTGGCAAATTCAAGACGCGGCCGACTAGAGCAGAAATTGCGGAAGGATTGGTATTGCACGTAAAGGTATGTAAGGTTCTTACATTTTTTA